AAGTATATATTTTTAAAATTATTATTAGATTTCCTTAACTTTTACTTAATGTTCTTTTTCTGTTTGAAGAGCCCATCTAGGATACCACATTACATTTTGGAGTCATGTCTCCTGAGGTTTCCCTAGAGTGATAATTTCTCAATCTTTTCTTTTTTTCAATAGCCTTATTAGTTTGAGGAGTACTGGTCAGATAGTTTGTACAATGTTCCTCAGTTTGGGTTTGTCCAGTGTTTTCCTCATGGTTGACAGGACTTATGGGTTTTGACAGCTTTGCCTATTTTTAATAGGATTGTTTTCTTATTGTTGTTTTGAGAGTTCTTTACATGTTATAGAAACAAGTCTTTTGTCAAATACCTGATTTGCAGATTTTTTTCTCTCTGTAGCTTTTCCTTCCTTTAAGAGTGGCTTTAATAAAAGAAAAGATTTAAAATTTGGTGAAATCTAATTTATCAGTTTTTTCCTGTATGGGTCATGTTTTGGGGGTCATGGGTAAGAACTCTGTAAAACACCAGGCCATGAATATTTTCTTCGAATTTTTTTCCAAAAAATCCAATTAGAGCTAAGTGTATCAAGTAAAGGGTTTAGGCTGATGTGTATTTTTTTTTTTTAGCATAGGTGTTCCAATATTTGTTGAAAAGATTGCCCTGTTCAGTTGAGTTGCTTTTGCATATTTACCAAAAAAATCAGATGACCTTTTTTGTGTCAGTGTATTTCGGCATTCTGTCTTCTGTTCCTTCTGTGTGTCGTCTTCACTAATTCAACATTGACTTTATTTTTTTAACTTTACAATAAGTCTTAAAATTGGGTAGTATGATTTATGCAGCTTTATGCTTATTTTTCAAAGGTGCTTTAGCTATTCTGAGTCCTTAGCCATTCCATGTAAATTTAAAAATCAGCTTGGTATATCTAGAAAAAAATCCTGCTGGGATTTGGATTGATACTGCATTAAATGTACAGATCGATTTGGGAAGAAGTGACATCGTTACCATGTAGAAACTTCTAATCCAACAACACTGTATGTTTTCCATTTATTTGGGTTTTCTTTTCTTTGATCATCATTTTGTAGTTTATAGCATACAGATCTTGTACATTTTTGTTAGATTTATACTTAAGTATTTCTTTTATTTTTTGAGCTATTGTGAATAATACTATTTACTAAAATTTTGATATACAATGTATATGGCTAATACACTGAAATACAATTGACTTTTTGTATTTTGACCTTATTCCTGCAAACTTGCTTAACTTATTAGTTCTAGGATTTTTTTTTTATTCTGTGTATTTTTTATATAGACAATCCTTTCATCTGAGAACAGGGACTGTTTTATTTCTTCCTTCCCAATCTGCATGTATTTTATTGTTCTACTCTATTGCACTGATTGCTAAGAATTCCGTCCTATGTTGAATAGGAGTGCTAAGAGTAGACATTCTTGTCTTGATCCTGATCTTATGGGGAAAGAACTTGGTCTTTTACCACTAACTATAATGATAGGTTTAGGTATTTTGTAGATGTCATTTATGATGTTGAAAAGTATCATTTCTTGTCTTAGTTCTCTGACATTTGTAAAATAATGAATGGATGTTGTGTTCAGCCAAATGTTTTCTCTGTATCTATTTATATCATCCCATGTAGCTCATCCTCTTTTTATCATTTACATTGATGAAATTTTCAAATATTGAACCACCAGTGAATTTCTGGGATAAACCCCAATAGGTTGTGTTATTTTTTTTATATGTTGCTTGATTCATTTTGATAATATTTTGTTGAAAAAATGTTTTGTGCATGTTCATGAAGGATATTGGTCTGTAATTTCTCCTCCCCTTCCTCCTCCTCCTCCTCCTCCTCCTCCTCCTCCTCCTCTTGCTGTTGTTGCCTCCTTTTTTCCCTCTCTTTTTTTTTCATACTATCTTTGTCAGGTTTTGGTATGAAGATAACTCTAGCCCCATAAAATGAGTTAGGAAGAACCCTTTCTCTATTATTTCTAGAAGAGATTATGTACAATTGGTGGCATTTATTCATTAAATGCTTGATAGAACTTTCCAGTGAAAATATCTGGGCCTGCAGATTTTTTACTAGAAGTTTTGAGCAACAAATAATTCAATGTCTTAAATAGTTCTAAGACTATCATGTCATAAGTTTCATCTTGCGCAAGTTTTGCTGGCTTGCGGTTTTGGGGGACTTGGTTCATTTCCTCTTTGTTTTCTAATTTATGTACATAAGTAGTATTCTCCTAATATCCTGTTAATGTCGGCAGAGTCTGTAGTGATATCCCCCTTTTTTAATACATGGTAATGATCTGTGCCTTCTATCTCTTTTTTTTTCTGAGACAAGTTTTTCTTCATGTTTAGCAATTTTATTGATGTTTTCAAATATCCAGATTTTGGTTTCATTGATTTTTGTCTATTTTTTTTTTTTTTTACAATTTCATTGATTTCTGTTCTTTATTATGTCTTTCTTTTCTGCTTGATTTCGGCTTATTTTTTAAAACTGCCTTTTAAGGTCTAAGTTTAGATTGTTAATTTTAGACTTGTTTTATAAGCATTATATTATAAATATATACTACAAACGTCCCTCTTCTCATGGACTCAGCTCTGCCACATAAATTTTCATACATTTTATTTTTACTTACTTAAAAGTCTTTTCTAACATCTGTCAAGATATATGACCTGCATACTATTTAGAATTGCATTGTTTGATATGTTTGAAGCTTTCCTGATATATTTCTGTTAATAATTTCTTGTTTAATACCATTATGATCAGAGAACATATTTGTATAATTTCAATTATTTTAAATGCAAAGTTGTTGTATGGCCCAGGATATGGTCTGCCTTGGTGAATATTCTATGTGCATTTGAAAACAATGATTATTCTGCTGTTTGGGGGTAGACTGTTCTATAAATGTCAATTAGACCCAGTTGGTTGATGGTGTTTTTCTTTTGGGTTAGCCTGTTTGTAGTCCAGTCAGTCTCTTGAATTTATGAGCTTATGCCTTTTGCCAAATTTGGGAAGTTTTCAGCCATTATTTCTTCAAATGTTTGTTTAGCAACATCCTCTTTCTCTGGTCCTTTTGGGACTCTAACAATATGGATATTAGAACTTTGGTTGTCCCACAAGTCTCTGAGGTTTTCTTCATTTGTTTGCCAATCGTTTTTCCTCTGTATTATTCAGACTGGATAATTGTTATCACTTCATATTCAAGTACACTAATTTTTCCTTTGTCTTCTCTCCATTATATTCTTTCTACCTAATGAGATTTTGATTTTGGTTATTATATAATTTCATTCTAAAATTTCCATTTGTTTCTTCTTTATACCTTCTATTTCTTTCATGATTCTTTTTAACACTTATTTCAAGGATGTTCATGATTGTTCACTTAAGCACTTTTATAATACCTGTTTTGAAGTCTTAAACATATAATCTCAATATCCATTTCATCTTATTGTCGGCACCTATTTCTTATATTCCATGCAAGTTGAGATTTACACGGTTCCTTGTTTGCCAAGCGATTCTGGCAATGGTATTGAAAAATTATTGTTTAGAGATACATAGTACTCAAAGATTCTATAAATATTTGATCTTTGTTCATGAGAGGGAAAAAAAATAGCCTTAGTCTGACCAGTTAATATCATACAATTTTTTTCATTATCAAGTATAATTATTTTTTCTCCTGTTGGTACTATTATTTATCTGTAACGTAGCACTATATACTTATGTATAAGCAAAGATAAAATTCCCCCACTTGCAGAGAAGAAAAATAGTGTTTTCTTTTTCTCACATACAAGAACTACTAACTCTTCCCTTGTAAGGTTGACTAAAAGCAGGAAGCGTGCATAAGGCATGAGTGGCTTCTCTATTAGTTTTGCTAATTCACTTAAAATTTCTCCTCCTAGAAACTGATACACAAAATGTGACCACAATAAGGCATCTATATATTTTGCCACAGTGATGGTGACAATTCTTTAGGAGGAGCAAGGTCTTCTACCTGCCGAATTTAAAAAAAAAGAACTAAAAACAAGCAAACGACCAAAAAGAAAAGAAAAGTTTTAAAAAAGGAAGGAAGGAAGGAAGGAAGGAAGGAAGGAAGGAAGGAAGGAAAGAAGAAAGGAAGGGAGGAAGGAAGGAGCTATCAACTGACATTAGCATGTCTTTCAGTTGAGACACAAATACCTTTATGTTTATAGTGCTCATGGCCTTTTCATTATATACTGGGAGATTCAAGTTCTAGTTCTCCCACTTCACAGCTTGCAACCCTGCTCTGTGGACTACTTGCTCAGCTCTGAGATAGTGGTTATAATACCTCCCATGTGGGAGTTGCTCTGAGATTCAATAATGCATGTTAAAGATTAGAACCAAACATAGTGCCTAGCACACAGAGTTGGCAATATATCAGTGATAGATTTCCTTCTTTTCTTCCTTCCAAGAAGCAATCCTATTTATTCTGAAATAAAATTTATCATATTTAAAAGGGCTCTAAGGAAGATCCGAATTTCCTATAGTAACTCATTCTATAGAAAATATAGAAATATATAAGAAAAAACTTATATATAAGTTATATAAGAAAAAAGTCACAAAATCTAAGTGAATGTGAGTAATGTCCATTTAATGGGGTTTAGATATTGACTAAAGTTACCTCCTCTCATTAATCATTCTGAGATATCTAGTAATACTTGTAGGTTAGATGAAATGAAACATCTCAAATAATTAAAAAATACCTAAATAAATGTGAACTACTTGACATTTTGGGGATAGATGGCATTGACACGATTTTTAAATGAAGTTAACATATCTTTGGCAAGTTAAGAGAACTTTAGCATTATTTAACACTACTTGAAATTTTACAACTTAATGAAGGTATGAACCAGATCTTTGATCTACCTGGGGAAAAAAAACACATAATTTTCATTAAAGGAATTACAATAAAATTAGGAACTTTTGTGTAAGAACATTCATTTAGACAGTGGACTAAATGTTTTCTTAAAAGAAAAAACAATGTACTTACTTCTAAGATTATGAAGTAACATATCTAGTAAAGTCATAAATTTTGAATATTGAGTAACAGAAAAGTCCATTCCTTTAGCCCACAAAAATCCAGATACATAATAATCTAGTAGAATGGCTTCCTTTAAACAGGTTTGAAGGTTTTTGAAATTCAAAAACTTTTTCAGTTTTCTGTAACGAAAAGAAAAATCCAGACATTAAAATCAGATTAGTGAACATTTCCTCTTCTACGTTTTAAAAATGCAGATATTTTTCTTGAATTAAAATTATATAACGCCCTGAATCTAAAAATATCCCTAAGTTATGTCAAAATCCTAAGTCTAAAATGACATTCAAAAGGGAAACAGAAAAAACAACAACAAAAAAGGAAACAAGAGAGGTAAGAAAAGAAAGAGATGAAGAGAACAAGCATGAGCACTCTTTTTGGGCTTCTTCCTCCACTTCTTCTATTCTTCTCATTGTTCTCTTCACCTTCTTCCTCTTCTTCCCCTTCCATCTTCCAAGTATAGTAACTTTACTAGCATTTTTTTTTCTCCAAAATTCAATTCCTTTTTCCATTTATATGATCAAATTTATTTCTGACAATGTTCTGGAACTGTATTGTGTAATACAGTAAGTAAACTGTATTTACTTAATTTTGGGAGAGAGAGAGAATGAGCAAATGGGGGAAGGGCAAAGAGAGAATCCCAAGCAGTCTCCGCAGCTGTCAGGGCAGGAGCCTGAAGTGGGTCTTGAACTCAGGAACCGTGAGATCATGACCTGAGCTGAAACCAAGAATCAGACACTTAACTGACTAGCCACCCAGGCACCCCTGTTCTGTTTTCTTTTTTAAACAATTCCAATTATGTCTATTTTACTTATTTTGCCTATAGCTATAATTTCTGTTAACCTTCAAAAATTTTTTCAAATCATTGCCTTTTCATTTATGTATCTTTCTCAATACAGTTCCTTAGTGTTTTCAGCAGTTTCAAACCCTTGGGCTGCTAATACATCTCACCTCTATAAGAACTGTGTTTTCTATTCTTTGCTGTTTTACATGTTTTATCACCTTTTATCTCTTGTTGTCTCTTCCTTGAGTTTTTGTATCTCTGTTTTATGCTCTTGTTGTGATTGTTTCATAAGTTTCTTTTTAGTTCATGATAAATATTTGACAGTATATTTTATGTACTCATGGCTATGTTCATTTGGTTGTATTTTCTTTGCCTGCCAGGTTTTTTACCCCTTACTCTTCAATTATTTAAAATTTTTTTTTAAATATTTATGTTTGACAGAGAGAGACACAGAGCATGAACGGGGGAGGGGCAGAGAGAGGAAGACACAGAATCTGAGGCAGGCTCCAGGCTCTGAGCTGTCAGCACAGAGCGTGATGCAGAGCTCGAACTCACAGACTGTGAGATCGTGACCTGAGCTGAAGTCGGATGCTCAACCGACTGAGCCACCCAGGCACCCCTCTTCAATTATTTTTTAAATGTCATTGTATGCATATTCTTTCTTTTGTACTCAAACCTGCCCAAATGACAAGCTACAAAATAAGTTTGTTCCAATTATTCCAGGTTATTACTCTTTTTTCAAATAGTGTGTTAAAAGAAAAGAATAAAGTAGGATAGGTATTCATTACCATCACATAAACAATCTATTTCTTGTAAATATGGTAATTATCTGTTCCAAGTGTGGCCTCCTCATCCTGATGTTGCATACAAGGGTTCTTGAAATGGCACTTCAGGTTTTTCTTCTGATCTAGGAGAATACTTATCTTTTTTAAAGCTCATTCTAAGATCTTTAACTATGTATATCCTTCTTGCTCTTTCTCCTCCACTCCTGCTTGATCTATAATGCTTCTGACAATCATCCTCACATTTTGTAGTTTGGATTTATAGCATTCCCCTTGTTTGGACAAAGAAGTGATTGGTATTTTCTCATTGCTTAATAGATTTCTGAGGGAGCATATGTGGGTGTGTGACAACTTTATACTGCCATTTTCACAAACAGGAAGTCTTTATTATTAATAATATTGAAATAGATTTTATGATCAGAATGATAAATACAGCAGGATTAAACAAGTTTGGGAACAAATGAAGCTGGTGTTGTGTTTAACTCTCTAACATCCATCTCATCTATAGTGGTATCAAAGTAGACCTCAATGCCAAAAATGAGTTCTGACTCTTCTAAACCAATTGTGATACTCTCACCCCCATCCCATCATGCCATAAAATGGCATTCCGTATATGTATTCCCTATAGTAACTATTGGTGTATGGTGAACACTCTCATAAGTGTTTGAATTCATAACTAAGGATGAGGTTTACTTTCTTCTGTGGAACAGAAATACAAAAAAATGGGGCGCCTGGGTGGCGCAGTCGGTTAAGCGTCCGACTTCAGCCAGGTCACGATCTCGCGGTCCGTGAGTTCGAGCCCCGCGTCAGGCTCTGGGCTGATGGCTCGGAGACTGGAGCCTGTTTCTGATTCTGTGTCTCCCTCTCTCTCTGCCCCTCCCCCGTTCATGCTCTGTCTCTCTCTGTTCCAAAAATAAAATAAACGTTGAAAAAAAAATTAAAAAAAAAGAAATACAAAAAAGTAAATAAATACATTTGACCACTACTGGTACCCATCTTATAATCATAAGAAAAATCAGTCCCCAAATTATACTCATTTCTTGATGATACCACTGAGGCCTTGCATCAATCAACTCTGGACTCAATCTATCTTTGAAAGTTCTGTTATGTATATTTTACATATACATAACATTGTCTTCTGTTCCCAACAGTTAGTCTTCCTTCTAACTGCACTCTTCATCTGCCATCTCCATACGTTTTTTAAATATTAAATATTTGACCTAAATAGTTACATGTGCTCCTTGCCTTTCATTTTCATTTTTTCAGTGTTTTACTGTATGTAAATGAAGGCAACTATTTGTCTAAGAATATCTTAGTGAAACTTCTTTGGCATCCCTGTATCTTTGCTCTCCCTCATCCCCCTGCCACCACTTCCCCTAGTACCATTTGAATCTTAACCTTCAACTTGAATTGCAGGGCCGAATATTAACCATTTCTATTCTTTGTTCAGTCATTTCACCCCAAAGGAGATTATGCAGGGAAGCACTTGGAGCAAGATGCTGCCACAGTCTGAATGCAAAGCTTCCACGCATTTTACTGGCAAACTTGTAAGTTTTTCCTCTGGGGATAAGAAGAGACGGGACATGGGAGAGGGGAGAGATGGCTATTGTTGTGGCATTAGAGACTACAGGAAAAGAGAAAGATGCTTCACAGGGATCTAGGAAATTGTGCTATAGTGATAGGTGATGTAACTATCAACTTTGTCTCACCAAGAATTCCAGTGAAAGCATTACATTATTCCTACATGCTCTTGAAATTGGAGTGCATCTTATTTTTTAAATATGATGACATGCAGAAATAAGCCTTAAGGCAGGAGCTGCACAGCGCATGAAGGCCCAGTTATGGAAAGGTTGTTAAAAGATCTTTCAGGGTTATTTCTGTGTTCAAATAGTTGTTTTCAATTTAGTCCTTATCCTTTTTTTCAAAAAGGATTTGGGCGGATCTGTAAAAAATCAGGGTTACATTAAAAGCATGAATGATTGATAATAGGAGATCATGAGAAATGTATGCAGACATTTAACTTCACTTGAAGTGTACTCTAGAAATATGTTTTAATGATACTATAATGTTTCATTTGGTTGGCTGCTTTCATGAAACACAATTTTTAATTTTAAAAGCTAAGGAAATGTGCTGATTTCCTGTAATTTATTTAAATAGGTTTATAGCTTTGTAGACTGTATGATTTTGGCATACTTCTGTCACTTGGTGACAGGATACCTAAATTATATTTCTGTCATTTTGAAAGGTATGTAATCCCCATTTATAATAATGCTATTTTAAATAGAAATGAATGATTGATTGCAAATATTTCAGGATTACTGTTCTAAAAATCACACAAAGAACCTCAAGAAAATTACTTTGCGAAGAAATGGCTCCTGACATAACACTGTCATTTATCCAAAACTGATATCCTAAAATATGAGATTACTTCAGGTGAATTCTATTCATGAGAAAGTCTAAAAGGTCAACCTGCATTGAACCTCGTTGCTTCTACACTGCTAACTTCTGTATCACCCTCTGTATCATTTCTTTTATCCTAGAAGTCACCTCTTAAAGACTGAAAATACCTTTAAAATTTAAATATTTAACAACAAACAGAGCCAATAAGTGGAAAAAAAAAGATTGTCATACAAGGTATGCGATGCAGTAAAACTTAAAATTTGGTAAGAAATGAGTCTAAAAACAATTTGTTTGCAATGCCTTTTATTTAATATTAATTGCATTTAATAAAACATCTTTAATATTTAATACAAATAAATTGTAAAATATATTAAATATCTGTCATTTGCATCATATTATTTTGCCCAGTATTAAATAACCTATGTTTTGCATTTCAATGACCAACATTTGAGATTACCTAGAAATGGAAAATAATATTTTATTTACTAAGCACAAATAATCAGGGATACCATTACAATGAATGCAGTTTACTAATCAATTCTCACACTAAAAACCAAAATTCCCAATGGGTATTCATTTCTTTAAAAATGGTAAAATCATCATGAGATACTTGTTTAAATATCTGTGAAATTTTTTAATTGACTGACTAATACTTATAAAGATATAGATAGCAAGCAGTATGGCCAAATCACAGGTCACCAGGATTTCTAGCAGGATTTGCAGGCCCTGAAGGTAAAGAGCATCGTGGGAAAAGGCCTGTCAGTGTCATTTGCCTGCTCTTAATATGCCTTCTCTTCTCAAATTTCTCTTCCAGCCAGTACATCTGTCATATTTTCTTCTCAGTAGTAAATCACCTCTATTTCACAATATTTGTAAGATCTGCAAATGACAGACACTGACAGGATCATTTTCTGTTTGTCCATTATGGTCCACAATACCCTAACATCCGGACGACAGGCCTACAGAAATCTTATGAGACATTATAATCCAGAACATCACATCATTCCCACTCTCTACACATTATAGTCAATGAGGTTTCCATTATTAGAGCAACATAACTTTTGAAATGACTGATTATTCAAAACACGTTTTAGGAACTTGTGTGTTAGATATATCTAACTAGAATTCTAAGTAAATAATTTGCTGTAGAAATCAATGGCCTTAAGAATGAGATGTACATACACTAGAATTGTTGCCCATAAATTCAGTTTTACTCACATTTTTAGGCAAAATATATGAAATCAGAGTATTTAGTATAGCTTCATATCATAAAAATCCCAGGTAGATGGCTTAATACTCAGGATTTCCAAAATATTAAAATGTATTAATTATTAATATTACAAAAAGTACAACTTATCCTTGTCACAATGAGACAGAAGACCTAAAGGTTATTGTGCATATTGAAAGTTTTATGAATGAAAAAGAAAAGAAGCAGAAGACAGCATATGTTAAAGGCTGCTTTTAACAATAAATCCTTACTCTCTCTTAACATTAACACATTGATCTGAAACACATTTCTCCCACAAAGAAGATAGCTGAGCAGTGTAAAAAGTCAGTTGTTTGAGAATTTTCATGTCCCAGACTCTGGATGGAGATATATATAATTATATATACACATAATCTCCAGAGTATATATATTTGCCTGATACAATAACTCTTTTTTAAAAAGTTTAAAATTTCTAATAGCATTTCATGGCCATTTATAGATGCAGAACTAGAACTGTTCTAGATTTCGTTGTAATATTGAAGTGCTTACTGTTGAACTCCATTTATGTCTTCTGTTAGCATTTCAGTGATTTGAGCAGCTGAAAGAAAATCTGGAGACAGAATCTTTTCATGCTCCTGGAATTCAGCATCTCTCTACCAACAACAACAACAAAAAAAGGTGGAATGAGTTATTTCAATCAACATGTTCTACATATTAATCCAATGATATGAAAATTTGTTCTGTGTTCTAGTTGCAATAAGAAATAAAATTTAAATATGACAGTCTTCCAGATAATCATTTTTCTCCTCTGTTTTCAAGTAATGGTACCTCTCTTCTGAAAAGTTGAATTTCTAGTTAATTTGTCTTTTACACATATTTAAAACTGGGTGATGGCTTTCAGTTAACAAACTTCTTTATGATAGTTTGGCTATCATAAATATGATATTTATGGCTATCATAAGTAATGCTGCAATAAACATAGGGGTGCACGTATCCCTGTGAATTAGTGTTTTTGTATTTTTTGGATAAATACCCTGCAGTGCAATTACTGGATCATAGGGTAGATATATTTTTAATTTTTTCAGGGACCTCCATACTGTGTTCCAGTGGCTGCACCAGTTTACATTCCTCCAGATAGTGCATGAGGGTTCCTTTTTCTCTACATTCTCACCACTTGTTATTTCTTATATTTTTGATTTTAGCCATTTTGAGGTGGTATCTCATTGTAGTTTTGATTTGCATTTCCCTGATGATGAGTGATGTTGAGCATCCTTTCATGTGTCAGTTGGCCATCTGGATGTTTTCTTTGGAGAAATGTCTGTTCATGTCTTCTGCCTGTTTTTAATGGGATTATTTGCTTTGGGGGTATTGAGTTGTATCAGTTCTTTATATATTTTAGATACTAACCTTTCATCAGATGTCATTTGCAAACATCTTCTCCCATTAGTATTTTGCCTTTTAGTTTCAGTTAGTTTTGTTGATTGTTTCATTTGTTGTGCAGAAACTTTATTTTGACGTAGTCCTAATAGTTCATTTTTGCTTTTATTTTTCTTGCCTCAGGACATATATTTAGAAAAATGTTGGTATGGCCAATGTCAGAGAGATGACTTCCTGTGCTCTCTTCAAGGATTCTTATGGTTTCAGGTGTCATATTTAGATCTTTAATCTATTTTCAGTTTATTTTTGTGTATGGTGAAAGTGGTCCAGTTTCACTCTCTTGCATGTGGCTGTCCAGTTTTCCAACACCATTTGTTGAAGAGACCGTCTTTTTCCCATTGTACATTCATTCCTCCTTTGTTGAAGATTAATTGGCCATACAATTGTGGATTTGTTTCTGGGTTTTCTGTTCTAATTCCATTGATCTATGTGTCTATGGTATGCCAGTACTATACTGTTTTCAAGTACCACTGCTTTGTAATATAACTTGAAACCTGCAATTGTGATACCTCCAGTTTTTTCTCTTTCAAGATTGCTTTATTTGAAATCTTTTGTGGTTCCATACAAATTTTAAGATTGTTTATTCTAGTTCTATAAAAAATGCTGTTGGTATTTTGATAGGGATTGCATTAAATCTGTAGATTTTTTGGGTATTACATACATTTTAACATTGTTGTTCTTCCAATCCATGAGTATGGAAGGTCTTTCCATTTTTTTGTGTCATCTTTTATTAGTGTGTTATAACATTCGGAGTATAGGTCTTTCACCTCTTTGGTTAAGTTTATTCCTAGATATTTTATTGTTTTTGGTAAAATTGTATATGGGATTGCTTTCTTAATTTCACTTCCCACTGCTTCATTATTAATGCACAGGAATGCAACAGATTTCTGCACATTGATTTTGTATCCTGTGACTTGACTGAATTCATTTATCAGTTCTTATAACTTTTTGGTGGTGTCTTTCAGACTTTCTCTATATATAGTATCACATCATCTGAAAATAGTGGGTTTTACTTCTTCCTTACTAATTTGGATGTGTTTTATTTCTTTATGTTGTCTAATTGCTGTGACTAGGACTTCCAATACTATGTTGAATAAAAGTGGTGAGTGAACATCCTTGTCTTGTTCCTGACCTTAGGGGAAAAGCTCTCAGTTTTCACCATTGACTATGATATTGGCTGCGGGTTTTTCATATAAGGCCTTTATTATGTTGAGGTATGTTCCCTCTAGACTTACTTTGTTGAAGTAGGAATAGATATTGTACTTTGTCAAATACTTTTTCTGCATCTATTGAAATGATCATATGGTTTTTATCCGTTCTCTTATTGATGTGATGTATCACGTTGATTGTTTTATGAATATTGAAACACACTTGCATCCTGGGAATAAATCCCACTTGATTGTGGTGTATGATTTTTTAATGTATTATTGGATTCGGTCTGCTAATATTTTTTAAGGATCTTTGCATCTTTATTCATGAGCGATAGTGGTCTGCAGTTCTCTTTTTTTTTTTTTGGTGGTGCCTTTATCTGGTTTTGGTATCAGAGTGATTCGGGCCTCAGAGAATGAATTTGGAAGTTTTCCTTCCTCTTGTATTCTTTTGGTACAGTTTGAGAAAAATAGGTGTTAACACTTCTTTAAATGTTTGGTAAAATTTGCCTGTGAAGCCATCTATCTGGTCCTGGACTACTGTTTATTGATTACTTATTCAATTTTATTGCTGGTAATTGGTCTGTTCAAATTTTCTATTTTTTCCTATGGCAGGTTACATGTTTCTAGGCAATCCAACAAGGAGATAACCACCCAGCAGTGACCAGCCTGCCACATGCCTCACCCAGATAAGCTGAAAACCCAGTGCAACCAGGGGTAGCAGGGCCACTTCTTTATTCTAAGAGTTTTGGTCAACAGGATTGGCCACCAATCCTCAACACAATACCAACATTCCAGAACTGCCATGAGGACACATCTACCCAGCACTGGAAAAGAAAGAAAAAGGGTTAGAAGCTGAAACTCTATTGTAGGGAAAGCATTTGGTGGATTGAATGTGCTGCTTATGGCGAGAACTTCCCAGAGAGTCACCAAAGGACTGATCTTCCCCTCATATGTGTCTTGGTTTCTCCCAGTGACAGTCTAAAACCACTGTGGGGCTCAGAGCACTGGATGATCAGTTTTACGTGTGCATCCCAGGCAAGCCAAAAATGAATTATCATGGGGGAGATATCCTCTATGGGACTGACACTTCCCTCAGTTCTGAGTCATCTAAGAACACCTTCTGGTGGGAAGGAGCAAGTGTCCTTTGTCTTTGGAGCTAAGTGAATCAGTCTCTTATTCTAGCTAACAGGCTTAAGAAAAATTGTCCAAGAGCTGAACCAGAGTCTTATGATTAAAATGAGACTAAGTTCAGGGCCAGCTAAAGAAATTTAGAGCACAAAGAGAATAGGAAGTGAGAACAGGTCCCCATATCAGTTCTCCCAGGTTTTCTTTTCCCCAGTGAATAGACCAGTTATTCAGAGAAGCACAGAGGCAAAAATTACATTGGCATTAAACCAACTCTGTTTCCCAGAGGAGGAACTTACTGATCCTAAAAGGTCAAATAAGCGGTGCTGTGCAGACTTAATTTGGGGGTACAACTGTTCCTCTGAGGGTCCCCTCATAATCACCAAGATGATTCAGGCAGCCCAGGTCCAAGGAACCCAGAAGTGGACCATTCAAGTGGGCCGTTGGCTTACCACAGGATGGAAATCAAACATGAACCAAGAGGAAGAACAGAGTTTAGACAGAGAGACATAGAGAGAACATATAAACAGAGAGACACAGAGAGAACAGATACAGACAGAGGATCTGGAAAACTCAGAAAGGAAAGGAGCATGAGTCCTATCTTTGCTTGAGTATTCTGCATTTTTTATGGAGGACAAAGGTCTGGAATATGTATCTTCTTAGGCATCCAGGAATCGATAAAACAAGAATGAGTCAATTTACAAACTTTATAAAATATCTACATCTTCCTCATTGTGCTTGGGCTTCAAGAAAAGTAAAACAAAACAAAACGAAACAACTTGTTAGCCTCACTATCTTAACGTCTAGTGGAAGGAACAAACCAAGGGTGACTTTAAGACAAGAAAATAAAATGAAAAGTGAGCCATAATAAAGGAACAAGAACAGAGACAGGCCAAGGAAAGCCTATAGACAGGAGGTCCAGAAATGGACGTTGGTGAGATTGGGCAAGAATGATGCCCCAGGTGGATGAATCGGCAACAGGATACTTGGGGACTGGTTCTATAAATATCAACTAATTCACACAATGGTGCCATGGATACAAGTCAAGGACTAGTTGGATCTAAGTGGGAAGTGGGCATGGAAACATATTGTGGGAGACCTCAAATTTAATAATTAAATAAATATTTGCTGATTACAACATGCAAGATACTGCACAAGAGATCACAAATATTTTAGACCTTGGCTGGTCAAAGAGTGATAGGCTGAAGAGTTTGTTTTTACTAATATAGGGAATAAGGAACCCATGAGATTTTTTAGCAGTCAAGTGACAAGATAAAATTGTGCTTTAAGGAAAGGCATTTTGTAGGAGGGTGAAGGACAGACAGGAGCAGAGAAAGGACTTAGAGGAGAGTTCAATGAAAATGTTTTTGAACTTTTCAGGAATGAGGCATCAGAATCAGACTGCACTGGGTTCCTAGCAGTGTGCATGAAAAGAAAGGGGTGAATGCAACATATTATATATGGGGGACTACAAGAGGCCAGAATGAATAGAGGGTATGAGTTTTTGAAATAGATGACTGAAAGAGAAAGGCGGTGATTCTTAGGGCCTCCAATAGCACCTATGCCACCTTTGTGTGACCAGGCAACCTCTGTGAGTAGAGGATGTGTTAAAAGGTTTAAGGCTGATACAGCCCTGCCTCTAAGTGCACTACTTGTGAATACAGTAGTTTTACCTCCTGTTCAACCCTCAGCCATGTCCTGTTGTTCAGAGTACAGTCTGTAAGAACCATACGTGGCACTCTCATTACACCAATAAAAATGGAAGCATCAGAAGATGATGCTGGTTTTAAGAAGGCAACGTGATGAGTTTGATTTCAATGGCTGAGTTTAAAGTGGAATATGCATATCAAGGAAGAAATGCTTAGAAGGTAATTAGAAATGGTAGACTCAGAAAGGTCAAGTTTTAAAATGTTGCTTTAGGAGTCACTCCAAGTGTGAGG